ATATATAATATATAATATATATATTTAAAAAATTCATGAATAATTCATGAGCTAATTATGATGACCCCTATATTCCGTGACATAGATCGGTGTGTGCTGATTTAAAATTCATATATAGACCACATGTACCTTTATGATAAAGGTACATGTACCTTTATAAAGCATTCTTTAACAAAATGTTTATTAATCTTTTCCTAATAAAAACTCGAATATTCGAGAAATCAATAAATACTTTATTTTCCAAAGTTAAAGGTAATGTTACAATTGTTAAACACGGGATTAACAACCCTTTCGTTTTTTATTACACACCACTTTAAACTCTTGCTTAATTAACTAAAATGCTAAAGACGCTTCATTCATCTCCGTCAGCGATGTAGTTAATGGCTGGTTTGGGCCAATATCATCAGTTTCATGACCACCATCGTCGATCTTCACTTCTTTAACCTTTCTAGCAGCTCTCCAGGAATCAGAAATCGTCAAAGCCCACTTTGTCGCGTATCTTGTACGTAATTGGCGGCATCAATCTTTCGAGCAACGTTTGCTCCTCTTCAGCAGTTCGAGCGCTTCGAAACCGACTCATTAACAAAACAAGTCAAATATGTTCAAATTTCCATTTGAAAACTCCGTTTAACGACTTGTACGACTTGATAATTAATCCAGTCATTAATTTGCTTGCTGATCAATGAAGGGAAGAATCGTAAAACAATAGAACAATTGTAGTTAGCATTTCTTATTATTTCATTAGGCACCGATAAAGCCCTCTCACTCGGTTTATAAATAGTACATATATATATATATATATATATGTATATATATATATATATATATATATATATATATATATATATATATATATATATATATATATATATATATATATATATATATATATATATATATATATATATACTTGTGGCAAATCATGTCAGCCATAATACGTCACGTGGAGTGACTTTATTTCTGCAGATAAAACACATGCCGTGTGGCATTATATAATTGTTCATTGCTGCCAAGCGTAGCGAGGCAGCTCCCTATTCTTGACGTTACATGACGTTCTTGCTTTTTCGTCCACAGTCTCCGGCCGAGTTATATTGGGGAAACATACTGAATTCATGTCAGTCCGTCGGATGTCAAGATTTTTCGGAAATTGTCGTCAGCTCGAGCATTCGACGACTCTTTGTTTTTATTCGATTTTGATTCGATTTTATTTATTTTGTATTGCGCTCGCATGATTTTTCTCAGGATTTAATACGGTTTAATACGATGCAAAGGATCGACAATATTTTGAATCATTTGGGCTTTATTTCTTTCTGGTGATATATTTGAGCATTTATATTTAGATTTGCTGTTTAGTGTTCGATATAGAGGTATTGAAACCAATATGATTTCATGAATTTGCAGTTCTTTATAATAGCCCACTGATCGTCTTTACTGATTTATACTAGGTTACCAACAGGGCAGTAATGCTGCCTTCGACAGCAAATTAAAAGACAAACTTCAGGGTGCTGAACGAGTCCTTCAGAAACATCCTATTATTGTTATCCTTGCAGGTTAACCCATTTATTGACAGTACCCTACCACTGACTGAGTATTAAAAATCGTCTGGCGTTGGACAGGGTAAACACTAAAGTAGGGGTCATTACTGTGCAGATGGATTAACAAGAGACATTGGCAGATAGGTTTGTTAACCCATTTACTGGCAGTACCCTATACCACTGACGAGTAAAATCTTCTGGCGCTGGACAAGGGAAGGGCGCATTGCCAGCTAATGGGTTAAACCACCGTGGTTAAACATAAGATTTGATGCTCCAGGAAATGTAAACAAGCTATCAGTGTAACATCCCAGTTTATATATTTATATACTCGGAATATTGATTTCTCGGTATATACAAAATTATTTTAAAGTATAACAACCAGCGAAGAAGTAAGCCACTAACTACCCTGCGCGGCTGCGCGCAGACTATATAATGACATATATATGTCATCCGTCCGGTCCGTCCGTCATTCATCCGTCTATCCGTATCCGCGTTTTATCCTACTCATTTTTAAAACACAAAGTTTGCATAATTAAGGAGTGCGGTTCGTCATGATCAACATTTTCAAAAGCGGCCAATTAGACCAGGGGTTAAAGGTCAATGACAATGACATGTAAGTGACATTTAATTAACATTGCGTCTCACTAATTAAAGTTTGCGTGTTTAATAAATTAATAATGTTTATCAAAGAAAGCAAAAATATATACAAGACAATCTCACATGTGGAATTTGTTCACTTACGTACTGCCTTGTGATGCAGTACAAGTATAAATACAAATAACAAAGCATTTGTAAATCCTAAAACATAATTAAATCATACGGCACATTCAAGATTTTATTAAATATCGTATTTCAGCCGCGTTTATACTGCTTGGCGCATTCGCTGCGTTATATTCATTTATATACACAGAAAAGCATCAAGCATGTCATTGTCCTTGCAGACCATAGGCAAAAAGCATTTGTCAACCACATACCAAATTTAAGCACAACCTCGCAAGCAAGGGCCTCCTAAGCAATAGTTAAATCATAGACATGTCATGGAAAGAATATGGAAATAATGTTGAATGAAAGCTAGCATCGCGTATAATGTTAAAAGCACCGCATATAGTGCTCGAACCACTGCGTATATTAATTGCAAAAGCAACGCGTATATAAATGGTGAAAGCACTGCGTATAATGGTGGAACCACCGCGTATAATGCGGGAACCACCGCGTATAGTGGCGAAAGCACCGTGTATAATGCCGAAAGCACCATGCACCGTATAATGCTAAAAGCACCCAACAAAATGCCGTTTGATCACTTTAAGCCAGCTATGGCTTTCCATAAAAGAAGATCAAAGATGAAAGATGATCACATTGTCTGTTTGCCTTATGCTTGACCGCGCTGCACCACGGTTAAAATTCACTGGTACCGTCATGCAATGCGCCAAATGGAAAATTTTGATTTCGACCCACAAAACAAAATTAGGATCTGCTGCCTTGCTCGCTCGCTTCAGGCTCGCTCGCTGCGGCAGCAACAAGGAGTCAAAATGTACTTTTAGTATCTGAGATATGTCCATTGGTTAGCATTATATGACCGGCTTACATTCATATATTTACCTGCTCAGAATTTCTTTCTACAATCTTAGTCATTACAAATGAATGGTCATCTAAAGCTGACAAAAATGTCAACATATATTTTGTCTCCTCATCAGCAGATTGTTCAGTTGTTCTGCAATAGGGGTAGCCTTGAAGGTGCCATTAAAACAATAATCGCGTCGTACTGTCCGTACTCATGCGCGATTTAATTTCGCGCACCTTGTTCATATTTATTACGGGAACCACTCAGTATTTTAAGAAAATACGAAATAACAGTAACTCCGAATAACATTTTGATTTTTAATCGACGTTTCGACTAGTTTGTAGTCATCCTCAGGATTCTTAATCCTGAGGATGACTACAAACTAGTCGAAACGTCGATTAAAAATCAAAATGTTATTCGGAGTTACTGTTATTTTGTATTGTTCATATTCGCGCTGGCCTGAAAAATATTGTAATGTTTCAAAATTATGTAATAGAACTAAAACATTTATCCCCGTTGTTTCGTTAGACACTCACGACGTAACAATTGCATAATTAATTTACGTACATTTTAATATATTAGTTCTGTTAGTTTAAATTAGTTTTGCGACAATGACATATCTTGTCAGTTTTGACATTTACATAAATTGCATGTTCAAGATTATTGTTAATTGAGATAAGGAACTGCGGTCGAAAGGACCCACTGAAACGTGAAAAGGCTAACCTGTTGTAATATTGTATTCTGTTTATTCTGCTAACCTGTATTTTGAACTGTTTGAATGTAGTCCTAGTGACCCGCCAAAGAAATCGAATAGTACTCCGTACAAGTATCAATATCAGTGTCAGTTTGTATAATAAATATTCAAAACTATACGATTACGGGTCAGACTACATTTGGCTAAAGAAGTGTACGACTCTGACGGACCATAGCATTCGATTTCTATATCGCCGATAAAACGAAACGTCCCGAGGAGTTCTACCAAAGAAATCATGCCCGAAACGGAGGAAGCGCCAGAGGTTGTCGACGCAAGATTGAAGAACACGAAGCTTAATCGACGCACCGCGAAAGCCGCATTGACGAGAGCCGGGAAAGCCCTGAACCACCTGATAGAAGGACAACGGCCACGAGAAGAGGTAAGCGAATCTCTTCTTTTATATAAGAAAACGTATGAAACGTTAGTATCGAAGCATGAAGAATAAACCAATTTAATTGAGAATGACGAAGCATTCACTGTAGAGGAACACTGGCTAGAAGAATGTCAGGAAACATTCATGAATTTGGAAACTAACGCGAAATTGTATATCGAAAGTAAATTAGAAAGTAATGTCGAACAGTCAAGTAATAATGTAGAAGCATGTACCAGTGTTACAAATTTAGAACAGCAAATGGACGGTGAAACAAGCATGCAAAATTCCGATGGAATTCCGACAATGCATGAGAATACCTCTAGTATCGTGATAAATACGTCGCCTGCGGCTCAGGCGCCTAATTCTGTCAGCCCTGTTAATGAACATGTTCCAGCTGATCATGCGAACGAACAAAGACAGCAAAGCGCGAGTCAAACATGTTGTCGGGAACTGACAGATAAGATTATTATTTTAATTGATTATTAATGCATGACGTAGGAATGATTAGGTGTCAAAGTGAGGGTGTGAGTGAAATAGTCACGAAAGAGAGCAGAGAGTTAGTTGAACAATCGTAGTTGGACTGTGACAGTGAGTGAGAGAGAAATTGTATTGTGAAAGAGAGATAATAGCCCGTGCGCTATCTATCTATACGTAATCGTGACCATTGTGAACCTTTTAATTTTGTTATATATCTTTGGTAAATTTTAATAATAATAATAATAATAATAATAATAATAACTTTATTCAAACAAAAATACCAATACTGGTGTATTTAGAATACAGCAAATGTCTATTATAAATTATATAAAAATAATATAATAGAACAGAGTAATAAAAATATTACAACAATAACAAAATTTAAACAAGGACAAGTCAAAGAAGAGCTAGATGCAGGCAAGATCCAAAAAAATATTCATTATTTCGTATATGTACTTGGCCGTAGAATTAATAATATTTTTGTCATTCATTGACACACAGTATAAAAATAAATTATTTGTACCCAACGAGCTGAATTTGCAATTATAAACAACTAACTCATTTAGAAAATTTTCTCGCAGTTTTTCTAACCTTTTGTTACTACAATGTGAAAAGTAGTGATATTCGTCCCCAATCTCATTTGAGTTACAAATTGGACATAGACGTGAATCATGTTCAATATTCGCATATCGTCCAGTCTCAATTGGTAACTTATGAGCGGATATCCTAAACCTAGTCACTGCTTGACGATGTTTCACAATTTTAACTTGAGATAAATAGCTTTCAAATTCTATACTAGGTTTTACAAGTTTGAAAACTTGCAATTTACTGAGTTGTTGAATTTGAGCTTTCGACATGATATTAAATCTTTCACACAACTCGTTTTTTATGTTTTGTTTGAATATACATTTTTGTTACTTCGAACATTTGTGACTTGTCGAGGACTACATTTTGGAGGCGAATTCTCGACATAGTGGCACCTCCTGAACGGGATTCTACTGAATCTGTGATATGAATATGGACGGGAAAGAGTTGACGAATCTCGAAACGAAGCTAACGCAGCTGGAAATCGCAACAGAGAAGTCAAAAGCATTGCTGAGCTCAGGTAAGCGAGTAGCAATTAAGCGACACCTCGACGCGTTACAAACAACGGCCAACGAGGCCAATGAGTGCAGACGCACTGTTGAGGCATTTAAAATCACAAACAAAGAAGAGCTTTCAGAAATCAAAAAA